CCAGAGATGGGAACATGTGTATAAAACCCTGACAAAGTCAACTCCACATCATATCACATTTAATGATTGAGGCATTTAACAAAATCCTCCAAATCAATCAGAGCAGCTGGAATCAAACGTGTACGGTCTGTCTCACAGAGACACAGCTCTGACTTGACTCTGAGTCTGAACCAACAGTATTTGTGCTTGGATCGTCACTCGACGCCCTGAAGGCCTGACTTACCTGTCCTGTCGCTGCACTTTCCCCTCCCCCTCCCGTCCATTACAGAGTGCAGACAAATACGAAAGGTCAAATATCATCCACAGAGTTACAGGCTGTTGTTTAACGGCCATTACACAATAATGGCCACTCACCTGACCTTTCCACCCGCACTCTGTTTATTTGTCAACTGAGTGCTCCTTCACAACACGTCTGCAGCTCCTGTTACCGTCCTTTATTTCTCTTCTAACATTTTCGTAATCAAGTTAATTCATCAATTTAAATTTTGAAAATATAAGCGCTGTCTTAGATCTTTTTGACTTACCCTCCTAATACTGCTGGAGTGCTCATGCTTCTTTCCCAGAACTGGGAATGCTGTGAGAGTGGAGGGAGCTTTAAACAAAAAAAAGATACATATTTTATATCTTTAGTTGTTAATTCTGATATAAGTTTCACCCAGAATTCACCCAAAACTCTGAATGTCTTTTACCATTACTGCCAATGGTCCCTGGGTAAAAGACATGATTATAAAAATAAGGACTTTAAACAGATTAACTTTATGTCTCTGTAAACACTGGAATTCCAGCCCCAGTGATGCTGTAACACACACTGCAGACACATGACTCGTCGCCCTTTATGTGTCTGTAGTTCAAAAGTAATAACCTTTTCAAACGGGCACAGATCACCTGTCCCAGCTTTACCTGTTCAGCAAAAACACAGGATTGTCTGCTTCCTCTCTATCATGGGTGTGACTTGAGACATAATGACAAAAGTTTTGCCTTCTTTTGTTTTGTTCTTCTCTTCTTTCTTGAGAAGACAATAGGAATGTGAGCGTCACCAAATCTGAGGGTGTGGAGGGTGTTGGTTGTCAACATATGACTGGCTCAGCTGCATGTCACAGATCCCTAATTCCCTCAGATTTCTTTTTTTTTTTCCTCCAGCAGAGTAGACCTAATGCTTGGAAATATTTCAGCTGCCACACTCGTACATGTGTTTGGAAAGCTGACAGGATTACTTGTTCCCAAAGACGTTGATTAAACATCGAGGTTTTTACGAGTGGGTTCTCCTCCTTCAAGCTGTCACTGGGTGCAGTGGCTTGCATTTTATGCAAATACATAATAGTGGGCATGCATCTGCATGTGCGGGTGACATTGAACACAAATGGAAAACAAAGGAGCTTTCAGTCTGGCCGCCCTTTCTTTCTGAGGTGTCCTGACCCAAATGTGTGTGTTGTTGCCTCCTTGCCGCCGGCGCTTTAGGTTCAGATTGTTGAATGAAGTTACAGTGAGAGAGAGTTCTCATGTCTGTGTTTCAGGTCCAAGGACAGGACATGTCCACTGGGTATGCAGCTGTGTGTCTTCAACCCAGCATATATACACAGTTTGTGTGTGTGTGTGTGTGTGTGCGTCTTGTTGAGAGTTGCTGGATTTGGCTGCCTGGGAAGTGGGAGGAAACCAGCTATCAAACTGCAGCTAGAAAATCTTGGAATAGAAACACTGGTCATGACTTCTCCCCTGGGTGTGGTTGTGTGTGGGACCCAGCCTCTTTGGTCCATGTACAAGTGTGTGTGCTGCGAGCACACAGCACACAGACACCCCACCCAGACCATGTGACATGATGCAAACTCTGTTGGAGGAGGCTAGAAAATGATCAGTGTCGCCGGAGCTTGTGGCTGTCGAAGGTATACTAAACAATCCCAGCCCTGTGGAAGTCCAACTTTTCCCAAAGCTGCCTTTCCCCGTTCAACCCCCCCACCTCCCCCCTGCACTCTCTCCTTATAGCTCATTAGTGTTTCCAGCCTGTGTTGCCCAATCTACCTTCTGACCTCTTGCATGGCAGGATTTTAAAAACTAAATAAATGGACTGAGGCCCAGCTAGAGCTCAGATTTACACTTGAAGACTTCATTGTACGTTAATGAGATCAGTCAGGGGTGGAACACAGAGTTTATATGACATATTTATTAGGCTCATCCCAATACTGTTCTTTCCAAACTCGACGGTGTTTTCACTTGTCATTGCAGAATCCATTCACAGATGCTTCTATAGGCTGGGTTTCAATAAATAAACAATGAACGGGAAGACAGAGTTATATAGGTGGCACAGCTCTGGGGGCTTATAGTGTGACATGCAGTGTGTGTGTGTGAGAGAGAGAGAGAGAGAGAGAGAGCGAGAGAGCGCTAAAAGCTTTGGACCAGTTTAACTTTCTTCCCATTAACAGAAGAAAGGAAAACAAACAAATGTTTTCAGGTACAAGTATTTGAATAAAGTACCAGTATTGGTATTATGTGTCTCTAATATTTGTGGATTTTACTACCATGAACCAATGAGAGATCTGTAATCCACCTTGAACACACACCTGGGTCTGGTGCTGGATCATTCCCTGAAGATTAAATCATGCAAATAAGAGGGAATACACGGCATCTTGGCAGGTACTGGGACGAGACTGGAACTCTGCACTGGCTGATATTCAACTGGGAAGAGGGCTGGTGATGATAAGGAGGAAAAAAACATTCCTACTTGATTAACTTATGCTGAAAAAAAACTGTAATTGTCTAAACTTTTCAAAATTGTGAGGTTTTTAGAAGCCAAAATGTAGCATGTCTGGTCAACGTTGTTGTTGTTCCATGTTTCCATGTAGAAAATCACTGGATGTGGGTTTTAAATTTCAAGTTGTATGAAGTTGCCATGATGTTGAAGTTTGATTCACAGTGAACAAGACTATTTCTACTATTATTTCGATTCACAGTGAACAAGACTATTTCTACAACAGGACAGTGGGAAAACATTATCCAAAACACGTGCAGTTTTTACATCTATAGTTTAATAATTAGAGCTCCTTACTTACAACAGACAGCTCCTCCAAAGCTTGGCTAGGCTAAGCTAACACCTCTGTGTTGCCTCTTCTTCTTCAGGCTTTAAAGGCAATATTTTGTCCTTTGAGTCACTTTACTGCCATCTACTGGTTCTGTCCCACTGACACGTTTTCATCCTAAAAGTCCTGTTTTTGTGCAGTAAGTAAAGGACTAGGAAAACAAAGGGTGGCGTCCCTGCTGATAAACTAAACTTCCTGTGACCAAATTCATTTCAAACAAACAGTTGCCGTGGTCCAGCCCAACAATTTGCTCAGAGTGTCATCTGAACTGAGCCAGAACCGTGGTAAGAAGTGAAAAAAACACTCCAGTCACTTCTTCCAACCATTAGTCAGACATAGAATTTGGGTTGAGGAACCATCATAGCATGTAACTGTGTGTGTGTGTGTGTGTGTGTGTGTGTGGTTTTTTTTTAATAAGCTCAATGATGGATACTGTTAAGTGTGTTTGAAAAGACAGAATGACAGACTGAGGACGCCTGTCCTTCAGTTCCAGCTGAGTGGAAAGTCCCTTCTAGTTTCTTACTCCAGGACCAGCCTCACCCAGACAGTGAGAGCAGCTGCTGCCACTCTCCCTGAGAGGAAGTGGATTTGAGTCACTCAGACACTGAAGACTGGTCACAAGTGAACCATGCTGCGATTCCTCCTTCACTTCCTGTCTGTCGAGGAAAGGAAGAGAGAAAACAAAACACAGGAAAATTAAACTTTCTCCCTTTGTGTTTTCCTTTCCCACTTTCACTGCAACCTTGTCCTTTTGTCCCCGTATTTCATCCTCTCTGTGGGAATAGTGTTTACCTACTGCACAGTTGTTTACTCCTTGTACCAGTGCACTTGACCAAAGACCTACCATCATGACCAGGACTCACGTCACCTTGTTGGATCCTGAATGTTCTGTAAGACACCTCTGTTGAGCAGAGAATTTTGAATTGTTCTCTGTCTTTTCATTAAATTATAACTTACTGTAAGTCTCAGTACGGTCCATAGAACAGTTTTAAATGTTTACATTATTATTTATTATATTATGTATTATTTATTGAAAATATATAATTATTATATTACAGAGAACGTTAAAAGTGAATTACTAGACATGTTTTGGTTACTACTAAAACTCATGAATTTAAATAGCTCATAATTTAGGTAATACTGTTTTATGTCTATGCTATTATTGGATCTATGTTTCATTCTATGTCATTGTCGTTCACGCAACTTCCTTTTTAGTTTACTTTCAGTTTTAATCTTGAATTAAAATGAAAACTGAAGTCAACCAAACTAACGAGGCTGATAACGGGGGTTACTTTCATGTAAACGTCACATTAGAGAAGTTGGCGTGTGTATGCTGAAGGTCAGTGGGCGTCATGTTTACCTGCTTTCAGTTTCTGCAGTGTGGAAGAGTGAGAGCTGTTGTCTCTGACATTACTTTGTGTTTTCAAGAAGGAAGCAGCTGTTATGTACAGAAAAGACTTCCTGTCTCTCTGTCCTTTACACACACACACTCACAGACACACCTGTCACAATTTTTTAAGGAGAAGGCCCTGTTCTTGTACCCTGGTGAATATATAAATAATAATAATAATAATAAAATGATCTGTAAAAAAAATAAACAAATGAATTCCCTTAGCTCCTAGAAGTGTAGGTGATGCTGCCCCCTGCCTGCTTTTCACCTCTTTTGCAAAGAGATGAACGATGTTAACACAGTGTTTAATGTTGGGGGAAAAACATGTCAGGAGATTAATTTGAGCTGCCACTAAAACCCCACGAAGAAGAGAGCTGTGTTTTCTCACCCTCCTGCTGACGGGTCAGTCTGTGATGGTGTCATGTCAGAGCAGCTGACCCCTCCACCTCAAATAAACCACCAGTGCCGTCACACCTCTACTTCCTCTTTCTCTCTTCTCAGCATCTGTCAATCCCCCCCCACCACCACCACCACCACCACCACCTTTGTCTTCCTGTTCCGGATTAGCTGTTGTTACTTCATTCGTTCTCTGTTGTTTTTTTTGTCAAAATTCGTTTATTTCATCATGAATTTGAGTAATAAGTGGGTGTCCTGGAGAAAGCGGAACATTTTTAAAAGGAAAAGAAAACATGAAAACACTGGTGATGTAGGTGAGTGGACGAGTGCAGCTGTGGCGGTGTAAACGCAGAAGTCTGAGAACTGTTACACAAACTGCTCCACCGCTGAACCTGAAAGATTTAAATGATGCAGCATCTGATTATCTTCAATATTGTCCCTGTGTTAGTAATGTTCTTTATTATGACGTATTATAGAGGGTTGGTTTCTAGAAGTTCTAGATGTTCTCAAATAAATGTCATAGTTGTTAACATTTAAAAAGACCTTTAAAATATATCCTTATTTTTGTCATTGAAGTTGACCTTTAGATATTTTAGAAACGTTTGCACTGAAGAACATATACACGTTTGTATGTGCTGTCAATTGAAGGAAATGGAAGTTGGCAAAAATCAGTATCGGCTTAAGTTGAACTGTGCATCTGTAATAGTAATTGGAAAACTGTTCAAAATTGATGATTTTTTTGATGATGTGTTTATGGGTGAATCACATATATACATATGTGCATATTAGTAGTTGTTCTTGTTTCTGCTCATTCCCAAGTATTCTGTTGGATACCGTTCTGACAACTACAGAACGACAGAACATAAACCCACGGCCCTCCTTCACCACGCCGGCCTGTGTTGTGTCTGTTAGCACGCAGATCGTAGCCTGATAACCTTTTCTTTGTCTCCTGTTTTTTTCCTCATCATGTGCTGGGTTGCGTTGTGTCCTGTTGCACGCAGGGACGGTGGCGAACACTGTTTATCTGTGCTCATCCTCTATCTCACAGTGCATTGTCATTCCCCAATCCAACCCCTGGCTTGCCCTGTCCTGTTCTGCCCCCATTCTGGCTTCCTTTCATTGGCACTGTCCCTCTCTCTCTCTCTCTCTCTCCCCCCCTCTCTCTCCTGATACTCACTCTCTCTCCCTCCTTGTTGCGTTCGTCTGATCCTGCCTCTCTGGCTGGTCAAGGAGTAAGGAAGGCAGAGGAGAGAGCAGGAGAGGGAGGCAGGAATGTCAAACTCACCCGGCTGCTGCTGATAGCTCTGGACTATCTCTTCCAAACTTTTTTTTTTCTTTCTTCAATTTTGCTGCTCATTTGGGTCAGGACTGTGGAGGTCGACAGTGAACGATGGCAGAGTTTGTGCTCAAACTGAGAGGTAGGGACTTTGACAGGTGTGTGACACATGGGTTAGTGACACCGTGTGTACTGCAGGTGGCATTAACCTGCAGTGGAGTCGCACTGTTCACTGCTGGGTGTGTTAATTGGTCTCGTGCAGACACATCAGGTTGTCCTTGTATTTTTAGTAGTATTTAGTAGTATTATAGTATAGGTTAGAGTTATGGTCGTGTACTGATACACACCACATAAGTTGTGTAGATTAGGACGGTTGTTGTCACGTAGTGTTGTGATTGCGATGATTGTTGGAAGGTAATATAATTTGTAAATATTGTTTTTTAACATCTGAAATAGTAGTTCCAACGTTCCAGTTGTTAAAACTCTACAAAACAACAAGGTTTTTTATACGGTTGTGACTGAAAGTTAAATATTTCTGTTTTGTTGGAAAAACTTTCCAGATGAAAGCACACTAAAATGGGACAAATCATGTAATTATAGGTTGAAATGATAATTATCACTTTCCTCTACGTCTCCTTGGCTGTAGGATAAAAAAAGCACCAAACAGTGGTTCGATTGTCTTGTCAGAAATGACTCCTATTATGATTGAGGCCAGTTCAGTCAACTTTGATTTACTTTCCTTCTCTTTCTTCACCCTCCTCAAATTCCTCTTCACCAGCCACAGCAGTGATTTACAGTTTGCTTGTTGCACCTCTGCCTTGTGAAGAAACACAGTTCACAGTTCATCAGCGCATTCTGACTTATTCAGATTCCAGCAGCCCTCGCCTGCACCGTGTGTTTAACTCTGACTTCACAAAAACCTGCACAAAAAAACTTTTTGTTTTCTTTTTCTTGTTCTTTAAATCTGCTAAGGGAGGGAATGTAGGTTAATCTTTTTGGACGCTTTGCAAGTATTCCTCACAAATTCCTAGATCGCAGTGAGGGAATAGTGTCAACAAGGCTTTTCTGACTGGGACAAGCTCAGACAAGGGACCGGTGCTGGGAGAAGGGAGGGAACATGTGGGAAAATGATAGGAATTCTGTGCATTCTTCTCTTCCTACCGCCTGAAAGTTAGCATACATTCAACTGTTAAAAGGTGAAATGTGTTTGTGTCAAGGACGCGAGGAAACGACAGCCCGAGTTAGAGTAAAGTGATTGTAAATAGTTGTCAAGGACGCGAGGAAACGACAGCCCTAGTTAGAGTAAAGTGATTGTAAATAGTTGTTATTAGAGCATTTGTCGTGAGGCGTTGTGTTTGAGGGCGTTACGACGGCTAAGAGAATCCTATAAGCCGTGGGCAGTGCTGTGCTGACAGACATGACAGCCAACAGCTGAGCCTCATACCAAAACTTCAAGGTGAAGTTCACAAAGGAAAAGCTTCACGGCGGTTTTTATGATCAGGTTTTAATGTTTAACATACACGTGCGTCTGAGAAATCTGGAAACAAATGGTAATCAACCGTGTATATACATATATATATATAAATGTATATATATATATGTATATATATATGTGTATATATATATATATATATATATACGCTGCATTATTGTGATGCTGAGCTTTTTCAGTGTTATGTTATGTGATGTGTGTTCATAAAGTGACCTTGTTATTTCCACGATGTTTTCAGACTTCATGTTTAGAGCGTATGTTTTGCACAAACCAACACAAAGTGCTGGGGAATTTCTGACTTCCTGTTCTCAAATAGCGAGGCTAAAGTGAAAACGTCAACTATTTATTTATCCATACAAACTGAACATACTTTATATATATACACAGTATACGTTTAGGTGCTGATTAAATGCATGTAGCTGCAGGGCAGAATATGATTCAATTCTAGAATTATATTTATATTTATATTTTTCACGTTTTAATTGGTTGTCAGTTGTGATCTACTGGTTGATCGTAATCCAAAAATTGGGCACCCGTGTTTTAAACTCTGTATCCTAACATAAAACGACAAAGACCACATAGATATTCAACACATGAAGTAAACTTAACATTTAAGATTGTCCTTGTCAGATAACTAATATACCAGGTCAATACAAAACTTCCTTCTGGACACTTGGCTCTATGTCTCTCTCTCTCTCTCTCTTTCTCTCTTTCTCTCTCTTCCCCAGCTTCCATTAGTCTTGTGTACTGCGGTGGTGGATGTTTGATTTTCACCTCAGCTCCTCCCCCCTCCACTGTGAGGTCACTTGTTCTCTCTACCTGAGGGTCACAGAAATGCACCAGGGACCAGAGCTGTATATTTTATGTCTCTGCTCTGTGTTTACTCTGAGGAATATTTGTGTTTTTATAATTATTTTTTGACTGACTGTCATGTTTTATGGTTTGTGTTGTGGTGGTTTGTTTCTCATGTCCTGCAGCGCTGTCGTTTCTATAAATGTGGGTGAGCATTAGGTTAAAACCTCTGGTTTTTGGACAGGGGAAATTCTGCACTTATTTTGAAACATACAAACTCTAGTTGTCTTCCTGTTGTACCAGTGTGTGTGTGTGTGTGTGTGTGTGTGTGTGTGTGTGTGTGTATTACAGCATGTACAGAGCACATGTTTGTTGACTGAGCTGTGGGGCGATACCAGAGGGATTTCATTTCCTGTGGTAATCACTACTCTCTGTTTGGTTGATGAGGAAGAGAAACTTTTTTGTTTCTCAGCACGTTTACTGTACATGACTCTGCACCGTCCTCATGTCTCTGTGTGTGTGTGTGTGTGTGTGTGTGTGTGTCTCTGAGCGTGTGCCGCTCCAATCATGTGGAATATGATACGTGATTATCCAATGGAGGCAGGAGGAGTGGGGGAGTGTTTGTTCTGCTAACAAATGTGTTGGCGACTCTTGTCCGGTTGTGTTGCTTTATCTCTGCGTCATGTGACTAGTTGACCAGACCACACTGTTGTCAAGGCATTAGTCTGACAACATGGCAGTCTGGTCAACTGTGAACGTACATGCTGTTTTTGTCCATTACGTTCTGACTAATTATTCCGCTATAAATAAATGATCCACTTTGATATTTTTCCAAAACAATGATTAATAACAGTTTAAACACACATAGCAACAATAAAGTGGTTGAAATATCATTGCACTTGCAATGATATTTTGAGCACATTTTTAACCAAAAAGCTCCTTCTAACTCATATGGTGTTATGATATATCCATACTTATACTTAATATTTAGTTTGTGACTATAAACATTTATATAAATATTGTTGAGTATTAGACATCTCCTCTGTGTCAAACACACAAACAAATCTGTGATAATGCGTTTTCTTAGAAAACGATATTGTCATAATAACTGTTATTGAAGCGCACAGACACAAAAGGCCGCAGCTTTTTTGAGAGAACTATAATTTTGTTGGCTCGGCGTTACCATTATAGTGATATAAATGTTATAACAATTACTGTATGACATTCTTTGTTTCAACAGAACCACAGCTTAAACATGTGGCTGGATGTAAACAGTAAACCAAACAGGGAAAGTGACACGAGGGACC